AAATGATAAACTGGACTCTTGTTATAAATCCAATTAAATGTGGAGAGAATTCATGTTTCTGCCTGTCGTTCCTCACGTCGTCACTCTGACTAGGAAGAATCTGGCAATATGTCTAAATAAATCATGATAATGATCAAATCTACAAGTTAGTGATTTTAGTAGCTACTTGTGGTTAATACAAAGGATGCATAAAATACAAAGATGTATAAAACTGTTGGTTATTTCCAACATATGTGGCGGTGTGAGCTGTGTCAGGAGTGAGTATGGTACGCCGTATTGCTGTCATTCCCAGCAATGTGGTGGTGGTGTTGGTATGTGGTATGTCCTGCTATGTGGATGGAGGGGGGAGGGGAGAGTGTGACTGACTATGAAAGAGGTTGATGATGACATTCACAACAGTTAGGCCTCAACCTTTGAAGAGGTAACACCATGTGGTCATGTGGTGTCACTCCTCAGAGCTATGTGGTAGGTAGGTATGGCCCGCATATCCTCCTTCCACACTCTCATCTTAAGAGGGTCGAGGGGGAACCCTGACGGTGAGAACATCCCCAGACTCCTCCTGTAGACTTTGAAAAACACGATTAAGGATGATGGACGCCATCCGCACTGGGGCGGAAATAGGATACATTTACCGTCACACAAACCCACCTGTTCCCCTTCTCCCCTTTGCCGTGTTAACTGCCTTGGTCCCCTACCCTCACAAGCCACAGGGAAGCCTCCCTTCCTCACCCCTCAACTTATCTGAGCCATGTAGGGGGGGGGGGACCCCCTCCCCCTTCAACATATTCTCCCACTCTCAACATACCTTGCCATAACCTACATACTCATAACTATCTACACACAGGATTAACTCTACAGTGCTTACCCAAACATATTCATCTACTCTTCTTCTCCTCTTCACCATTCTTCTCCTCTTCTCCTTTTCCTTCTCCCCTACATGACCGCATACCAACCACATAGTCTCCCTCCAACACCCCCCCCCCCCCTAACATGACCCATGATCAAAGGGTCACGCTGGCCTCCGCCACGTGCCGGCACACGCCAAAACATCCGAGAAATCCCCCCACATACCTTTGTGACTAGACACCTGTGTACCACCTCAGCAGGGGGGAGGGGGGTCTTAATGAGCCAACCCGTTCTCGCAAATTCGTAAAGTCAATATTGACTTATTAACTACGCGCTTAGGTGATATACTAAACATAATAGATACCCTTAAAAAGATTCATAGAAAACACCAACCTTACCTAACCTTGTTAGTATCTTAAGATAAGCATCTTATTGCTTCGTAATTAGAATTATTACTTAACCTATACCTATTATAGGTTAGGTAATAATTGTAATTACGAAGCAATAAGATGCTTATCTTAACATACTAAGTAGGTTAGGTAAGGTCGGTGTTTTCTATGAATCTTTTTAAGGGTATCTATTATGTTAAGTATGTCACCTATGCACATATTTAATAAGTCAATATTGACTTATTAAATTTGCGAGAACGGGTTGAATGAGCTCACCTGCTCGGGTGCTGCGCACGGTCGTAGTCGCACTTTACACTACAGATAGTAAATACTGAATATGCGGTCATATTCAATGAGACGTATATATATATGCGAACAAGCGTGAATATATATGTGTGTGTGTATTCACCTAGTTGTATTCACCTAGTTGAGTTGACGGGGATTGAGCTTTGCCTTTCGGCCCGCCTCTTAACTGTCAATCAACTGTTTACTAACTACTTTTTTTTCCACACCACACCACACCACACCACACACACACACACACACCCAGGAAGCAGCCCATGACAGCTGACTAACTCCAAGGTACCTATTTACTGCTAGTTAAAAGGGAGCATTCAGGGTGAAAGAAACTTTGCCCATTTGTTTCTGCCTGGTGCGGGAATCGAACCCGTGCCACAGAATTACGAATCCTGCACGCTATCCACCAGGCTATCAGGCCCCCGTGTGTGTGTGTGTACTCACCTAATTGTAGTAACCTATTTGTGCTTGCAGGATCGAGCATTGGCTCTTGGATCCCGCCTTTCTAGCCATCGGTTGTTTACAGCAATGACTCCTGTCCCATTTCCCTATCATACCTAATTTTAAAATTATGAATAGAGTTTGCTTCCACAACCTGTTCCCCAAGTGCATTCCATTTTTCCACTACTCACACGCTAAAAGAAAACTTCCTAACATCTCTGTGACTCATCTGAGTTTCCAGTTTCCACCCATGTCCCCTCGTTCTGTTATTATTACGTGTGAACATTTCATCTATTTCCACTTTGTCAATTCCCCTGAGTATTTTATATGTTCCTATCATATCTCCTCTCTCCCTTCTTCTCTCTAGTGTGGTAAGGTTCAGTTCCCTCAGACATTCTTCATATCCCATCCCTTGTAACTCTGGGACAAGCCTCGTCACAAACCTCTGATGATTCTCTAGTTTCCTTATGTGTTTCTTCAGGTGGGGGCTCCATGATGGCGCAGCATACTCCAAGACTGGTCTCACGTATGCAGTGTAAAGCGCCCTAAAAGCCTCCTCACTTAGGTTTCTGAATGAAGTTCTAATTTTTGCAAGTGTAGAGTATGCTGCTTTCGTTATCCTATTTATATGTGCCTCAGGAGTTAGATTAGGTGTCACATCCACTCCCAGGTCTCTTTCCCGAATCGTTACAGCTAGGCAGTTCCCCTTCATTGTGTACTGTCCTTTTGGTCGTCTATCACCTGATCCCATTTCCATAACTTTACATTTACTGGTGTTGAACTCCAGTAGCCATTTCCCTGACCATCTCTGCAACCTGTTTAAGTCCTCTTGGAGGATCCTACAATCCTCATCTGTCACAACTCTTCTCATTAATTTTGCGTCATCCGCAAACATTGATATGTATTATTCCACTCCTGTAAACATATCATTTACGTAAATTAGAAAGAGGATTGGGCCCAGCACCGATCCTTGAGGTACTCCACTCGTTACTGTTCGCCAGTTCGACTTCTCGCCCCTTACCATTACCCTCTGGCTCCTTCCTGTTAGGTAGTTCCTCACCCATGTTAGGGCCTTTCCACTTACTCCTGCCTGCCTCTTAAGTTTGTAAAGCAGTCTTATGTGCGGTACTGTATCAAAGGCCTTTTGTCAGTCAAGAAATATGCAGTCTGCCCAGCCTTCTCTGTCCTGCCTTATCCTTGTTAATTTGTCATAGAATTCTAAAAGGTTTGTTAGGCATGATTTCCCTGTCCAGAACCCATGTTGGTGCTTGTTTACAAACCCAATGCTCTCCAGGTGCTCAACAAGTCTTAGCCTAATTATTCTTTCAAGTATTTTGCAGGGGATGCTTGTCAGTGATATGGGTCTGTAGTTAAGTGCCTCCTCCCTATCACCTTTCTTGAAAATTGGTACGACATTGGCCTCCTTCCAGCAACTGGGAAATTCTCCCGACCTAAGTGACTCATTAAAGATCATTGCCAGAGGCATGCTGAGAGCCTGCACTGCCTCTTTTAGTATCCACGGTGATACTTTGTCTGGTCCAACTGCTTTAGTTGCATCCAGTGTTGTCAACTGTTTCATTACCTCCTCTGCTGTCACCTCTATATCTGATAGTCTTTCATCTAAGGTAATCTTTTCTAACAATGGGAGCTGCTCATGCTCGGTTGTGAACACTCCATGGAAACTTGCATTCAGCACCTCACAGATTTCCTTCCCGCCAAACACACACCGAAACTACGACGTTGGTACATCGTTCGAACAAGTTTTAACACTTCCTAACCAGTTATAACAACCAATATAGCAAGTTGTAACAACGTTCTGATACGTCATAAACACGTTAAGCCAAGATGTAGCAACTTTATTACAAGTTGTAACAAGTGGAAAATAGAGACATTTTCGGTTTGTGTTTCCAGGGTTGTCGCTTTCTGAAGGGTTGTCCCTTCTGTTTTCCTCAGTCTTGTCACTTGGTCATTTACCGACATCTTCCTTCTTATATGGCTATGTAGTAATTTAGGTTGCTTTTTCGCTTTCATTGCAATATCATTCTCATAATTTCTTTCCGACACTTGTCTTATGTTAATGTAATCGTTCCTAGCTCTGTTACATCTAATCCTGTTGTCCTCTGTCCTTTGTCTTCTGTACTTCCTCCACTCCCTCCTGCTTCTCACTTTTGCTTCCTGACACTGTCTATTAAACAATGGGTTATTATATTCCCTCCTGCTTTTTTCCTTTACTGTTGGAATAAATCTCTCTTCAGCCTCCTTGCATTTCCATATGACTTGGTTCATCATATCTTGCACTGTTTTTCCTCTAATTTCTTTCTCCCACTGCACTTCTCCCAAGTAGTCCCTTATTCTTTTGTAGTCCCCTCTTCCGTAATCAAGTCTCCTTACTCGGACCTCTTGTCCTTTGGTCACAGTTTATGCCCCATCATGTAGTCAAAGACTAGGACACAATGGTCACTGGCTCCTAGTGGTATTTCATGTTCTAAATGCTGAATGTCTTCTACACTCTGGGTGAAAACGAGGTCTAATAGGCTGGGCGTATCCCCTCCTCTTTCCCTAGTGTCTTCCTTCACATGCCGTGTTAGGAAATTCTTGTCAATTACGTCTACTAGCTTCGCTCCCCAGGTCTCCTCCCCGCCATGGGGATTCTTCGTTTCCCAATCTATCTCTCCATGATTTTGGTCCCCCATGGCCAGTGTGTGTATGTGTGTGTGTGTGTGTGTGTGTGTGTGTGTGTGTGTGTGTGTGTGTGTGTGTGTGTGTGTGTGTGTGTGTGTGTGTGTGTGTGTGTGTGTGTGTGTGTGTGTGTGTGTGTGTGTGTGTGTGTGTGTGTGTGTGTGTGTGTGTGTGTGTGTGTGTGTGTGTGTGTGTGTGTGTGTGTGTGTGTGTGTGTGTGTGTGTGTGTGTGTGTGTGTGTGTGTGTGTGTGTGTGTGTGTGTGTGTGTGTGTGTGTGTGTGTGTGTGTGTTACATGCATGCATGCATGCATATGCATATTATTCAAAATCAGGGTATGATTACATACTCGTACAAATTGTACATTAGATGAGCCTTTTTCCCATATCGTGATGACCGACCCGTCATCCAGCACATCTCGGAGAGACTGGTAGGGTTGAGGGATGTACCTCACAGCCAGGAGAGCCATGAGGTTGCCGGCGTAGCTCTGCGTCAACACCACCGTCACCAGCCCCCACACTGCCAACACCACTCGCTCCCACCACCAGTACGCACCAGAGTCCAATACATCTATAAGCGGAAGAGTTGTTGAACGTTATCAGCAGTTCATACTTCACCATCTCTCTCTCTCTCTTTAAAAATGCTTGTTCATTCGATAAAGAAATTTACATTTATTGTTTAGTGTAACTGGAAACACTTGATAAGCATGACTTCTGGCAATATTTCTGCTCTGTCGATGCTATTGTATATTTTTACAAAATTTCACAAGACTTCCTCTGGAACACAAACTAAAGATTTGATTTAATATTCATATCTCTTTATTAGTGTTGTGGATATTTACTTTGCCCTGACTGCAATTACGTGCAACGTTTCCAATTTGTACTGTGGGATAAAATACATGGCATTGATTAAAATATTTAAAATAAAAAATTATGTAAATGCAAAATTGCTATTATCATGCACTACAAAAAAATTAGGCCTTAGCTACCACAATAGTCCAGCCGAAGATTACTCTTGATTTCCAGGGAGATATAAGTAAACTGTAGTTGATCAGGTTCACTTATCCTTCGAAAGGATACAACAGGGTATTGATAGCATAAACAATATATAGCTGTTGTTATTTTGCCGTAAGGGTATACATAGTACAAAAGGATTAAATGTTAAAAAACACAGCACTATGACTGTATGAATAATGGTTTAAAAAATCTCCTGGATCTTGTTAAACATCTTCATCATCAACCTAATATTAAGGTTTGCTTGAATAATAACTATGCAAGATTTATAATGAATACCGATTATTTATTGGTGAACTTATTTCAGATGAGATTAAGATTATAATGATTATATTTATTACTAGCAGTACCCGGCCACGCATTGCTGTGACTCAACAACACATGTGCGTTGTTGAGCAACAACAACCTTCCCCTGTCTCTGAGTCCTCTCCTCTATTCCCTCCCCTCCTCCGTCCCTTCGTCCTCCCAACCATTTCCCACTCCCCCATCCTCTCGTCCTCCCCACCATTCCACCCCCCCCCCCACACTGTCCGATCGTCCTCCTCACCATCCCCCCACTCCCCTGTCCCCTTCTCCTCCCCACCATTCTCCATTCCCTTGTCAACTCGTCCCCACCATCCCCATATCCCCCGTCCCCTCGTCCTCCCCACAACTATCCCCTCCCTTGTTCCCACGTCCTCCCCACCATCCCCCAATCCCATCCCCTCGTCCTCCTCACCATTCCCCCACTCCTGCGTCCAATGTATTCCCAAATGATCAGATGTTCCCATCAGCAAATTGGAAACATCAAATGATCTGATGCTCCCATCATTGAAATATAAGAAAAAAGTTAAAAAAGCGAAATGAAAAACAATTAAATAATAAAAAAAAATCAACTATACTCACTAAATGAACGGTATGGTAAACAACACAGCTCAATTCCAATGCAATGTCACACAAAATAATTAAATCAAAATGAAAAAAATTAAAATCAATAAAAAAATCTCTTTATCAATGAATTTGGAAACATTGTGATCGAACCGTAACATATTTATTATAGCGTGTGTTGCTCTTACGTGCAACAGATGGCGCTGTTTTTCAAAAAAGCATGTTTTTACCTTTTACAAGTGTGGCATCTATATAGTAGGCATATAAAAACAAGCGTGTATTCGAATTGAACGTTGTGTCAAAATTTTAAAGCAATAGGTGAAGAATTTTTGGAGATTACAGCATGTGTTGCTTTTACGTCCAACAGATTGTGTTGTTTAAAAAAAAAAGTTTTTTTCTGTCACAAGTGAGGCATGTATATAGTAGGTATTTAAAAACACGTGCCTATTTGAATGTAACGTTGTGTCAAAATTGCAAAGCAATCGGTAATGAGGTTTCGAAGATTTCCCTCACATGAAAAACACTTGAAAAACACAGTTTTTCAAAAAAAGCATGTTATTCCCGTCACAGATGTGACATCTATATAGCATGTATATAAAAACCCACTCGGATGTGAATGGAACGTTGTGAGAAAATTTCAAAGCAATCGGTGAAAAACTTACGGAGATTTGCGACTTTGAACAAACGAACATTTACATTTTTATTTATATAGATTATTGATAATTAACAGATTAATTAAGATAATAATTATTATATATACTTACTTTATTTTGGGGGTTTCCCCGTGATTTAACGATTAACAGTTTTCTGGAAAGATTAAGATCATAAACACATGCAAATTGACCAATTAAACATACTACAAACACTTAATTAACTTATCCAAACTGAGAACCGGAGCCTTGAATCTGAACCATTCCAGACCCTTGATCACTTCCAGGCTCAGTATTTTGGGGATTTAGATAACAACTCTGCTGTGGGAATTGAGTTCAAGTTGTAGCGTTCACTGTGATTAGGACTTAACTGTTGTGGTGAGCTGCTACCGACGTGCTCGGGTGGGCAGCTCTCTACACTCTTTTTAGATAGGTATTTTGGTAAATGTTTTTAATGCTTATAGTTAAACACCTTCCTGAGTATCTTAGGGAGCAATCACTAAGATTAGATTACAAAATGGTGTTATGGTGTTAAGTCTCTTAAAAGTCGCGAACACCGACACACATGTGCACTGTTCTCAGTTGAACAAAGCAGTGAGACACAAGAGTGTCTAGAGTCCTGTCCTCTAGCTGGCTCTCTCGTGTGTACACATGATACATGATTGGATATATGATTAATCATTTCTCGTCTAGTCGGATATTTTGAAATAAAGTGTGTTTATAAGATCAATATAAAGTTGATTTAATGATTATTGGTTCTACTTATACAATGAATCAATTCTTATTTTACGATTTTGATATGACGTAGCAGGAAGTCATTTTTTTGCCATTTAAGCACTTGATGGTGGAAGATTCAGGGCTAGTGACCATGATCACGTAAACATATTTAAGCCTATAGGGGGACGTGACCACTGTGGAGCAGATTTAGATGTATGATTTAGGATGAATGATTTAGAAAGTCCTTTATTTCATTGAATATAAATATTAATATGGTGAAATTGTCCACATGTTCTGGCCGTCAGGTTCAACAATGTCAATCCAGGCTCAGCATAGATGAGAACACGTGGGTGTGTGTAAAGGTCCTTCTGGGGGTAGGGGGGGGAGGGTAATTCTTACATATAGGCTTCACCTGATCCTGCATCCGTTTGGTCGTGGGAGTCACTTCAATACAAGAGAGGCCCTCTAATGGACCTCCTTAGGGGTCCTCATCAAATGTATATTGATTAAAGCCTTAGTAAATAAGGAGCTCGTAATTGTATCCATGTTGCAGGCACTCAAATTTTTTAGACGATATTTCAAGAAGGTTTCATATCAACACATACGTAAAACCATGTTTAATTGCAGACTTATGTACAAATATGGTGGGTGCTCACATTAGTTTACGATTAGTATCCGCAAAGCTAATATCACATCAGAGACACTGGAATGCCTCAAGTGACCGATCACGTGGTTAGTTCATAGACAAGCATTTCTAGCCTGTTTTAACACTTCGCAGACTACCAGTCTCAAACGCAGCTTTCCTAATACTACCGGTTGCAAAGAAAAAGCACTGGAGTTCCTACCGGATACTCAGTAATCAAGGAAAAGGCATACAGAATCACAAGCAATAATGAATACCTATCAAGCTGATCGTCATACAACATACACATTTATCAGAAATGAATGAATATACACACGAATTAGTTGTGTGTATAAGATGGACATTCATTCTCACATGTGAAACAATCATGATACCTCTCAGATTATCCCTTATTCACTGTTATTCTGTCAGTAAACTCAGCTTCCCTGTCCTCCAGGTGCGTAGAGAGGCGAGTAAATTTCTGGCTGTTCAGCCATCAGTGTCAGGGTAGTCAATAACAATAATAATAGAATGCACAAAAAAGTCACATTAACTTGAAGTATCAATGAGAAAATCAGTAGGACCTCACGAGAATTGAGAATTACTATTGAATAGATATAATTTCAATCGAACGTGTTCAGCGTAGGATGGCGGAGTTAATCCCCCCAATTAAAAACTTGTCATATGAAGAAAGTTTGAAACAGCATAAATTACATTTTCTAAGAAAGCAAAGAATTAGGGGTGACATGATACAGGTGTACATGTGGATGAATAGGAATAACAAAGGGGATATTAATAAGGCATTATTAACTTCGTAATCCTACACTGGATGCGTTCCAGTGAATTTATATTCATTCTACAGTACGGCGACCAAAACTAAACTGCATAATCTAAATGGGGCCTAACCAGAGCAAGATATAGCTGAAGAACAACACCAGGTGTTTTATTACTAAAGCTTCAATTAATAAATCCCAGTGTCCTATTTGCTTTATTACAAACATTTATGCATTTATTTTTTGGTTATTAAATTCCCAGATGCCTTTCGTGATCTCAGCACCATCTAGCTCAAATCTTGTAAATTTATCATCATTACCTAACCTCAAAACTTTACATTTGTCAGCATTAAACTGTATCTATCAATCTTTTGACCATTTCAAAACCCCATTTAAATCGTCTTGAAGTCATAGTGAGACTTTTTCCATGTTTATCTACCTCTGATTTTTGTATCATCGGCAAATTTGAAAATATTGCTGCTTAAGCCTGAATCTAAATCATTTATATATATTATGAATAACAGAGGTCAAAGGACACAGCCTTGAAGCACTCCACCTTCAACATTTTCCCACACTGATTTAACCCCATTTATACTAACACTTTGTTTCCTTTGGTATTGTAATGCCCTAATCCAACTTAATATAGCACCCCCAATACCATGAGCCTCTATCTTTTTAATCAGTCTTTCATGTGGTACTGTATCAAAAGCATTACTAAAGTCAAGGAACAAAACATCACAAACCATACCACTATCAACTGCCTCAACTATGCTGCAATAAAATGATAGCAAATTTGCTAAACATGAGTGGCCATTTGTAAAACCATGTTGTGAATCATTTATTAATTTATGTTTTTCAAGGTGAAGATGAATAGTATTTGCAAATATCGATTCAAGTAACTTTCCCACAATTGATGTTAGGCTTATTG